GGAAGAGGCTATATGAACTTCCTAGCTAGGATTAAGAGAAGAAAGAACTGTGTGGTATTGTTTGTGACAAATTAACCAGGGATGATAATGGGTTTTTATAGATAGATCGATGTACGTAGGGGAGATCTATTTGTGATCTGTTCCTTATGGTTGGTCTGGTTTAGAAAACAGGAGAGTCATTTTAAATGTTGTTGTTGTTAGCTCACCTTCTTATCCATCCTCCATTGAAAAAAATGCCATGTCTTCCGTTTCTTGTTGTGACACGTTATGTTTTTTCTTCTTTCCGTTTTTCCCTTGATCTGGGTTGTTCAGGATTGAAACTTATATTTGCTGACCAATCACAAAATAAAATATTGTGTTTGGTCATCTAGTTCTGAATTCAAATACTTCTATATAATTTTATTAACATCTTCTGCTCTCACTAATATCGCCTACGTACGTTAACATCTACCTTATTCCCTTTTATGTTGCATAATGAAATGGACTTGCCCACGTGATTACAGGAAAGTGCCTGAAGAATTTCAACATTTTTTTCTGCATTTGGAAACATGATAGATTCCTTGGCTCAGTCTTTATTCCTTAAAGTGATAATTTGCCTTACTCACAAGGAGTTTGCTTGAAGGTTAATGGAAAATTGGCTACAGGGTGCAACTTGGCCGCCAAAATCCTTAATTAGAAAGGAAATCACGAGATCTTCAAATAATGAAACTGTGTATCTACATAAGACAGTGGAGATCTTCATATTTTGTTCAGCAGACTAATTAATGTGTTCAAAATAAGCAGGCAAAACAGGCCATATTTGTTCTCATTTGCTAGTGTACCAAGGCCTATTCTTCAAGATTTTATCCGAGGCAAGATCATTGAGGAATGCCAAGCTTCAAAGAATTTGTGCAAGTGTTAATGGTGCTATTACTTGTGATAATCCAGATAATGTGATGAAATTGTTTCAAACTTCAGTCTATTGCTTACAGCCCACGGGGATTCATACACCAGGCAATTGATATTTGATTCCTTTTGGCAGGGTGCATTCTAATTTTTTTCCCAACCAGGCACAACTTATGTACAATATAAATGGCATTTTCCATAGAATTATAGCAAATGTTCCGTGTATATGACAGTGAAAGTTGTTAAAGATTGGAAAGCTTGCTCTGAATGCACCATTTGTCAATGAGTATTCTTGTTCGCGGAGCCATGAAGTAGAGGAGCGATAATCCTGCATGCTCAATGATGTCAAAACTCCTCTCGAGCTCGTTACCTGCGGAGGCGGTATGTAGGGGAGCAATAATTCTCCAGTCCTGAATGTTCGTTCACCTGTTGTGCTTTATCAATGGACGAGAGAGTTGTAAAATTGATGTCCCATGTAAATCAGCCATTTATATAGACTGAAGATGTTATGTTATAAAAACTTACATGATCTTAAACGAGAAATGAGGCCAAAAATTTATAGGAACCGATATAGATTTGTTGAGCTAAATTCACTTTTCGGAGGCGCTTAGAACAAGGAAATTTTACACTAGAAATCAGGCATCAAGTTGTTTGTCAACCTCAGCAAGCGACCTAATGTTTATACATGGCTGCTAACATGGCAACAATACATCCATCCCAAACATCAAAATATATCTGAATCTAGAAAATATCAAAGATCCGACCCTCTTCTCAAATCAGATGACTCTATTCTTACAAAAAGAACAAGCGACTTCATCTCTAAAACGAAGAAAGTGCTGGCAAGGAAGAATTGGCTCAAGAGTCCAAGTAAATGGTACTTCCGATAGACCAACGGTTCATTTTCTGATTATCATCTTTGATTTTCTGGTGCAGGCAACTAAATAAATTTTTATACTTTTATAGTTACCGTAGATGTTTTATTAGAAGAACGAATCTGAAAAAGGTTATCTATGTGTTAGTATGAGCATTCAATCCAGAGCGTAGAGGGGGGAAACCACTGTTTTCACTATTTTTAATTAGCATCTCCATCCTCTCTGCATTTTAGCCTGTTCAGTTCCCCCATTTCTTTCTTGCTTGCATATAATTTCTTTAGGCATCGTTTTCTGCTACACTCTTGGGGTTTCCCGAAGAGTAAAAAGGGTTGCCGAACATGAACATGAAGTGCACTTACAATTGCCTGGTTACAAACGCCATCCTCGACACTTTTTCTACCGAAAATAATGTTATGTGCCTATGATACGTTCAAAATTACTGATATTTGTCCAGACAACTATTTTTCTCATGAATCATGCTCCATACAGATGTCCGAAACACTTGGCTATGTTACATCACGTAACACTTGGAACCAGATTTTGCTTTTAACAAAACCTAGTTAACATCATCTAGAAGAGCAATCCCATTCATCATCCATTTGTAGGGGTATTCTATATATTTCCTGCGGAGACAGTAAATAAGAGCAACAATTCTCCAATCCCAATTGTACAATAATTGAGACAAACACCTTGTAGAGCTGCACAGATGGATCAGAAGCAAAATATAAGTGCAATGTAAATCAGGCGAGAAAAAAACTGGCTATGATCTTCCAATGTTATCATATCATTTGTGATAATCCTGTTCAACTGGAGCAACAAGTGAGGAGTTTGACTGGGATTTATAGCTGACTAATATCATGAAGAGTTCTTTCGGGATTTATAGCTGACTGATATCTTAAAGAGGGAGGAGGTCATAAGTCTCATTCCAAGGATAATATGTGTAGATCCAAGATCCAAATTAAAGACCTTTGAAGATGCATTTTGATGAAGTCATGAGTATGTCCTGGGCTAATAATTGATCTGTAAAATAAATCCACTGTTGGTGTAGATGGGGCTCTCTAATGCTTTTATAAATTGAAAAGGTTAAGTGTGTATAGTTCAACTCTCCAACATGTAACTTCTTAGCTAATATCTGGATATATAAAGATATCCACTCCTTGAATTTATCTAATGAAAAATAAAAATATTTTTCTAAAAAATTAATATTATCCTAAAAATTAATCATTGTAGTAAGTTGATAAAGAATCAATAATATGCATGGTTGATTAGCTATATAGAAACCAAAAAACTAATATTTAATAATTTCTAAACCAGGTTTAGTTAAAAAAAAAAACATTGAAAATAGTTAAAGAAAAAGAGTGAAATGATCTAAATGAAAACAAAATAAAAGACAAAACTTTAGAGAAATTCAAAAAAAAAAGTTAAATGGAAAGCCCTATAAATGAAAACAATAAATTATCTGATGGGTTGTGGGCAAAGATAATAGGTGTCTTTGATTATGATAGTTAGATATATTAGTTACATGCTCATCTTGATTGTTAGACAATACGGGGGTATACAATATATGTAAAGGATGGCCAAACTATCATAATTTTTTAGGTTATTTAAATATTAGTTCATTTTAAAAGTAATCAAGGAAAGCATTAAACAAGATTGAAAGCTAATTATATTAATTAAAAAAAATTACATGGTTTGAGGGATCCAATCACTACTAAAAAGTATCAAATGTGAAGATCAAAATTAATAATTGATAAGTATTGTTTCTATGAATCTCGAATTTGAATCTCACAAGTCATCGAAATAAACAAGAGAAAAAATATTAACAAAGAGAAAGAAGTAAGAGAATAATTGAAAAAACTCCGAGTAAACTTGGACACTAGTAAAACTTTCAAGATCACCCTCGAGGAATAGCTCTCACTAAAGAGAAATTGAGGAAGTTTGTGGAGCAACAATTAATGGAGAAAGATAAGAAAGTTGTGTTTTTTGAGAAGCAATTAAAAGAGGAAAAAGTGGCCAGAAATTGATTTGTGAAGGAGCGAGGAGAATTAGGAGTAAGTTGGATGCAAACCAATATTGTATTTGAGACATTGAAAGCCAATTTCATTTATTTCTAAGGAAGGACTGACATGTCTTCAAGAGTCCAAGCTGAGTTAGAAAGCCGAATTCAGCAATATGAGTAGTTATACAAGGAACATGTAATGCTTGAGAGGGAGAGGGCTGAAGCAAAAGTCTAAGGAAAAGCTGTCAGGAATTCCCAAACTGATTGAGGTAGGAAAGACAATCCAGCTTTGGCTAGCGCAGGAGGCCTTACTTGTGATGGAATTTGCGGCTAAGAGAGGCTCTCCTTTATTTTATTTTATTTTCATACCACAATAAACTCCTTTTTTCGAGGGAAACCTTACACACAAAAAACTAGTTACTTTGCTGTCGGAACGTGCACAATAAATAATTTTTTTTATCTTGTTTTTTAGTGATATTCTCTCACTTATGTCAAATCAGAAATTTAAATAAAAAGAAAATGAAGGATTGGCTGAAACGTGTAGCAGTTAAATTAAAGGGAACAAAGTATTATTTAAAAAAAATGAAGGAAAAATACCTCAAAAGCCGCTAATTCCTCGAAAGCTTGTTTTTCCTCAAATTCAATTTAAGTCCATTTACTTGGACAGGATCAAGGAGTGTCTGATTTAACTGTCTATTGCATGTAGACACAGTCTTCTTATAGGACCCACAATTTATTTTCCATAAATAATTCTGCAAGTAGTCAACATGTGAACGGAGTTGCTCGAAAACTGGTTCACATACATGAAAACAGAAACAGTTGAAGTAAGTAAAAAAAACACACAGTGCATCTTCCATAAACGTCTGCTCCATATAATTCCACAGGTGGTACCCACATGTACAGTTGAATGGCATTATGACATTTGGAGTGCCGGTCTACAGAGACTGTCATTGACAGCAGTCACAATATATTATTACACCTTTAAACAGACAAATATGTATATTTTTGAATAATACTAACTCAAGTCAACATGTGAACAGAGATTACTGTGTCTAGCTTTCAAGAAGATCTTTGTGTTCTTTCCTAGCGTCTAATCTTTGTATAAATATTGATGGATTATGATCTTAACACTCGTTAACACATCTTTTTCTATCTCTCCTTCCTCTCTTGTATATTCACTCTGTTCATTTCATCCATCTCGATTATTAATTCAACTCTTTCTTTGATTATTAATTATTAGCTCTTTAAAGTCTCATCAGAAACTATATCATGGATTTGAAAGGTTTTGCTGAGGGTAGTGTTACCTCCATCATTGCTAGTGCTTCCACTCACCCTTTGAATTTAATCAAGGTCCGTATGCAACTTCAAGGTGAATCCCACGTCCCAAATCCATTTTTCGTGCAATCTTATCGCCCTGCTTTTTCCTTAAGCTCTATGGCCAATGTTTTCGTACCGACCAACTTAGAATCCACTCCTCCACCCCGTGTGGGACCCCTTTTCATTTGTGTCCGTATCATCCAATTCGAGGGCGCTGCCATCCTTTTTTCTAGTGTCTCCGCTACCATCCTTCGCCAAACCTTATACTGCACCACCCGCATGGGCCTTTATGATGTCCTCAAACATAAATGGACGGATCCAGATACTAATACCATGCCACTTGTACGTAAGATCATGGCTAGATTAATCTCCGGTGCTATCAAGACTGTTGTTAGTAACCCTGCTGATGTAGCGATGGTCTGTATGCAGGCTGATGGACGTCTCCCAATTGAACAGCGTAGAAATTACAAGAGTGTTGTCGATGCCTTAAGTCAAATGTCAAAGCAGGAAGGTGTCGGTAGCCTGTGGCGTGATTTGAGTCTTACAATCAACTGTGCGATGATTATGACAATATCACAGCTTGCATCATATGATCAAGCCAAGGAGATGATCTTGGAGAAGGGTTTGATGAGTGATGGGATCGGCATCTATGTCGCAGCAAGTTTTGTGGCTTTCGTTGCTTCAAACCCTATTGATGTGATCAAGACTAGAGTTATGAACATGAAGGTTGAACCTGGAGTTGAACCACCTTATAAGGGTACATTAGATTGTGCACTGAAGACTGTCAAGGCAGAGGATTCTATGGCCTTGTATAAGGGCTTATCCCAACAATTTCAAGGCAAGTACCTTTCACTGTTCTGTTATTTGTGACATTAGAGCAAGTTCGGAAATTACTCAAAGATTTCTAATTAATTACTACGATGATGAGGATAGATTAAGATGTATCTAAACTGAAGGAAGGCAATAGAAAAAGCACTCAAGCTTGTATATTCATTGATTTGTTTGTTCAACTCTGATTACATGTTGGAAGTAATATAATTTTTCCTCATTCATTATTTGTTTAAGAGTGTGTGGTTGAACATAAACGGATGATCAGTGGTGAAATGTACTAAAAATTACAGTAAGCTAGTCTAATTAAGAGATGATACTTGAGTATGAAAATCCTTGTTATTTTTCTCTTCCTAATCTTTGTATTCAGCTGTCCAGATTTCTATTCTGTGGTTTCTTGTAGTTCTCCCTGCTTTGAAAATCAGTCCCCTCTTCTTAAGCCTCCTGGGTTCTGGACTTTGGCAGGCACAACAAGCCCTAGCATCCATTGGAGCAAAATCGAGCCTCAACAGCTTTCGAATTAAGGGTGCTAGGACTTGAATACTAAGCTCCAGGTTAGGCCATAACAGTAACATATGGCACTCCAAGATGCTAGCATGAATGAAGTTCATCATAGCTTAGGATGTAAAGAGAGAGATCAATCATTCGTTTTCACCCTCCAATGCAGACGTGATATGCCAGGATGCCATATGATCTTCATGGTCTGAGCCTCTCTCATCAGCGATTTTGGTGGACCAAACTCGCTTCTACAGCAAGTTCTCATTAGCAGCGTGAGCTTGAAAAACTCAACCACCATGGTTTGAACAATGATGTTGCATTATATCTTTGCTGCACGTGAATCGATATGCCAAAGCGCACAATATAGGTGGGGTGATTCTACAGCCAAGTAGAAGTTTGTCTATCACAATTGCAATTCACATTTAGTGTCTCTTTGTTTATCATTAAAAAAAATTAATTTTTTTTATATTTGTTTCACATGAAATATTTTACAAGAAAATTAATTGGTATAAAATATTTTATAATTAACTTTCAAACTTATTTCATTTACTAAAAAATATTTTCAGCGCATAAAATTTCACAAAATAATTTACAAATTTTTATTTCATGAAATTCCATAAAATATTTTAAAAATAATAATTAATTTACAATATTATCTAACTATTTCAATCTTAATTTTTATCTAATCATCACTACCTCAACTATATTTTCTACCATTATTGTTATCTCACCACCACCATCTTTGTTTTTCATTACCATCTCACAATCATCTCCTCTATTATCATTCCATGCCATAACCATCATATTCTTTACCATCACATGACCATTTTATTCACCACTATTGCGATGTCATCATTATTATTAGTACCATGTCACTATCATAATCACCTCCCTCTCTATTGTTACTCGTAAAAAATATTTGTATATTAAATATTTTATATAAAAATATTTTTCAAGCTAAATATTTAAAAATATTTTACATGTAAATCATTTCATGAAAAACATTTTACATGTAAAATATACGAACAGAACCTTATCCAATGAGAACTTTCAGTCTGGTCTTGTAATTAACTAATTAATTAGCATCCTTCTTTTTCTCTGTTAATTTTCAAATAAGAATTACGTTCAAACCATAATTATAAAAGTTTTAATTTTTAAAACAAATTTGTTGACATCAAAATCGGTTTTTTTATTGTTAGAATGTGAACAACATAATATTTTCTTTTTTCTTTTCTATTTTTTTTTCACTTATTTTTTCTCTTCTCTCTTGATATAAGGACCAAAACACAAATAAAATAAAGTTTAGAATCTAAATAGGAAATCCTTAAATAATAGGAATCGAATATGTAAAAAGTTCAAACTTTAGGACAATGCTAAAGTTTTTGCCTCTTGAATAGTAAATACAAAAGGTCTATATTTTTATTTTTCTTAATTTTGTTTCTTTCTCTTTCATTTTTTTCCAACAACATTTTAATTTATTTTTTATAAAATTGACTGTTAATTATCATAGGGAACACTCTAACAGACCTATGAAAATAAAATAAAAAATATTCACAACAAATCAGCCACCATGGTTTGAACAATGATGGATATTTATTGATTTTTTTAATCAGTTGTATAATACAGAGTCTCTGTGTAAAACTATTCATCATAGTTCATATGATGATAAGAAATTATGATTAAAACTTAAGCTTGATGGAGCTAGAAATTAAAGGATCTACCTGCAAGCTTGTAAATCTGTGCAACACCTTGTATAAGATTTTTTTTTTTTTCCTTACTCTTGTCTTTGTTGATTTTTCCAAAAGATAATTAACCTTTCCTCATTCTGATGCTAGAGTGATTGTCTCATGCTCTCCACTACCAAACACTCATGATGATTCATCATTGTTCAAATCTATGAGACTTCGAAAGGAACTTAATTAAGAACTATTAAGAACTAGCAAGCAATTGATACTTTTATTTATTAGTGAAAACTGGCGATCATAACTGTAGAAAGATGGGAACCAACAATGCTGAAGTAGTTGAACTAAGCCAGGAACAAACAAATGACAAGGTCTAGTTTCCAGGAGGAGGGGAGAGTGGGGATTGAAGGCAAGGTTGGCAGTGGAGGCAATGCGACCTCAGGGAGAGAAGGCATGGTTGGCAGGCTGGGGAGTGGAGGTAAAGTAGGCTTAGGCAATGCAGTTGAGTTTTTGGCGAGGTTGGCAATGTGAGCTGCGGTAAGTGAGAGTGAAGTACATGTTAGGAGATCCAAACATTCAAACACACACAAATTTACGTGATTCGGCAATTTGCCTATTCCACGGAGCTACTGGTTTGTATTAATCAAGCTCAAAAGCAATACAAACAACAAAACAAGGAGGGGGAGAAAACTTCTCTACTCAACTCAACTCTCACCCTTAGCTCTCTCTCTGTGTTTCTCTCTATTTCGTGATCTTATTCAGCTATCAGTGCACCCTCTATTTATAGCTGAGGAGAGAGACAATTGTTCAACAATGGTGGGCAAGTTAGGCACCCACCATTTGACTATATTCATGTCAACCATGGTTGCCACCAACCATGGCTGCCACCGTCCATTTGTGTCCACACACATAACAGTACATGCCATCATCTGCAACTATGCAAGTTACAGGTGGGACAACGTTTGATGAATTAGTTCGGCAAGTAGCTCACGTGATGCGATTGAGTAAGAGTTTGGGATAGAGTTACAAAGAAATGAACTGTCTTGGGTAACATCAGCATCTATCCAAGGGAGAACTGGAAGGCCATTAAGTGAGTATATATAGAGGATCTGGACTTGAGCAAGCGTCTGTGATTGCATTCAAAGCTGACAAAGGTCATGTGAAAGCCTTTGGGATTAGTCATTTTGCAACTTTGAGCATAGGAGTTATGTGACCTTGAGCAGAGGATATGGGATGCACACTGCAAGTGCCTCGTTGGTTTTGGAAAGGGGTGCCATGCCTCTCACTCTCTTGCAGTTCTCTTACAGCCTCTGTGAGTTACAAGAATAATGAGCTACTGCTCTGCAATTATTTTTTGTGTGGTATGAAGTCCTTGTCCGATAGGAGGAATACACCTTGACATTTCACTTATGCTTTGTACAATTTAGAAATACACCACTCTCTTTATACTCTTCATCTTAAATGATTAGCAAAATTAAGCAAATTGACCTTAAGTTGACTTTTTTTGTATTAGTTTTTGTATATCAAGATTAAATCTACTTCTCCGCTTTGATTAAAGAAAAACCATGATGTTGGGACTACGACATTCAATTTGCAATTACATTATAGCTTGATTGTAAATGTAAGTGCATATTTCTGTAACAGGTAGAAAAAATTACATGAAGAGATAGTAGAGAACAGTAATCACCACAGCAGATAATATTACACCAGGCAAACTAGATGAAGTTTTACCATAACATAAAACATTTTCTAGATGGTATGTTGATCATCAAGGACTAGTAGTTGAGTGAGATGGGTTGATGCCGCTGGGAATAGTTGGCAATGCGGGCTTAGGCAGCTCAGGAAAATGAAGAAAAGGTGGCAATTCAGGCAGTTTTGGTATGTCAAATTCTGGCAGTTCTGGCAGTTCAGGTTTTGGGAATTCAGGCAGTGGTGGCAACTTAGGCAACTCCAGGAGTTGCCGGGCGGGCTTCAACAAGAATTGTCTGGCTGTTCATCAGTGACAAACTACTGATCACAAAGAGTGGGAAAAACCGTAAGATAAATAATGGGAAGTTATGATTGGCCATGGTTGTGGACATGGCAATGGCTTTGAGAGAGGAGAGTCCTAGGCTTTTAGCAATCACAGGTTGGATTTTTTTTAGATGTGGGAGGTGGAGAAGGGTGAGGTGGTAGGAAAATCTGTGCGTTGGTAGTTCGACTCTCACCTATGACGGTGGCTTACACTGGTATAACATATCAGCTTTCAAATATCCCCTTGAAATATGGTGAAATCTGATACATCTAGGTCTGACTAGCTCTTCTTCTTCACCAGGGGCCTCCTCAAACCAAATTCAATGCGTCGTTCACGTCACACTTTTACTTCATGATTTGGACCTAGAATATTTAGATTCTCCTGCTAGGCTAGTGAAATAGGCTTCATGAAGACTTGGACTAATAGACCATGAAATAGGGCTGTACATATAGAACTTTCTTATATAATGATAAAAAAAGATCTCATTAAAAAAATATTCCATGGTATCTAATAAAATTATTGAAAATGTCACTTAGTTTTCCTGTTTTTTTCACTTTAATATCTTGAATCATTCAGGAATCTTGAATCTTTCAGTGAAAAAAAAACTTTTGAAATCTATACAGTGATTTGTACGTCTATGTGCAGTACATGGAGCATGGTACATCGTCACGTGAATTAGTTTTTCTATAATATACACTCACAAGTCTACTTTGCCCTAATGCTTTTGAGAAACCAGCAACTTCCGCAGAAAGTTTACATCTACAGGGATGAACGAATTTAAGTCATACAAATTTACCTTCAACTCGTACTTATCCATGCAATCAGACACGAAGAAAATTATTATGCCAAATATCATCCATCAGAATCTGGGATTTGGAAGCATTTCTGCATTATGAACTACGAAGGTTAGAGTTATACAACAGCACATACAAATTATGACATCAAATTGGATTATAATACAACCATACATATAACATAGTAGTCGTTCGCTGGAATTCGAGGAATAACATTATTTTTCTGTGTCTTCACAGTATATAAACAAAGCACTAAGACGACCAAACAACAACAACAACATATAGATAAATCAGTAGCAGCAAAATTCAGAACCAAAATGCTCGGTCTTTTACTGCAACTCTCCCACCTTTGTCCTTCAGATTGCTTTCCTCGTAATCCAGAGTCCATTTCTCAAAAGCACAGTCGACGAAATCATAATAGCCACCGTGAATAGCAAGTTCCCCATTCCTCACTTTTTCTTCCACCCATGGATAAGTGAGGAGGTTTGCCAATGAACAGTTGACTGATTCCTGTAGAAACAATGTCACGAACAAATCATCCGGCATGACCATGGTTTAAGTTTTGAAAGCCACCTCTTATCAAATTATATTCTTGTCTACCCGCAAAACCTATTATTCATTAAGAAGAAATTTCATGTGGGCATCAAGGCCCAAAACTTTCAATATTAAACAGGAATAGAAATGGGATTGGAGAAAAAACAGTTGCCTTTGCAAAGTAGGGCTGTCCCCTTCGCAAGTTCATAGAGGGGTAAACACAGGGAAGATTGCCAGAGTTGTGATAAAGCAAAACAGTAAAAAGGATCGAAGACCCAATCCAGTAGCAAACGTGCAGTTATTAAAATTCTCATTCCATTTCTCAGATATTGGCCACAAATTTTAAAAGCATCAAGTTTGTCACCGTCAACTATTTAATGAAAGAAAGAACTGGATAAAAACAAACTAACAGAAAAGGGAAAATGCTTAGAGCAAGCAAAACATGTATCAAAACTACAAACTTCAAGCTCGAACTGAAGCAAAATGCTCAAGCATAAAAGAAAAATCTTACGAAAAGAGGTGTGTTCTCAATCCGTAGAGAGACAGAGAGAGAGAGAGAGAGAGATACAGACAAGCACGCTGAGTAAAGCAGGAATCATAGCCTTTTAAATTCAGTAAAGCATAATCACCTTTTCACAATGTTTGCACTGCTGGTCAAAGTTCAGAAGTTTCGTGGCTGCCTTAGTTCTTACTCTTGCATTCATCCCCACAGAAACCCAACTTCCAATGAGGCTACTGAAGATAGAAAATTGTAGAAAAGCTAAAATAGAGGGATAAACATAAATCCACACCTTCAACAAATATGATATTTGATGATTGCAATAAACAACTAGATTTCAAAACATATGTTATCTTGACTGGACCTTGTTTCTACGTCATCATGCATACTCATTAGAGCACGAATGCCTCCACATTGACTGTGACCAATTACTAAAATGTTTTCAACCTGCAAAAGGAATTATTTATGATTTGTCAAATAAAGATAAAATGATCTAGGAGACTTCAAAAGTAACCAGTTTCCATACTGTTGCATATTCTAAAGCTGGACATAGAGCACTTCTGGTTCTAGATATAATACTTCCCAGATGCTAATGCCCTTACTGTCCATGATTAAATGAGTAATGTGAGTCATCAGCTTTACTTGATAGCCTGGTGTCCTGCTTATAATTCAGTTTTGACAATATGCACATACACTTTGTATAACTCCATTGTATAAACACATGACTTCAAGGGAATGAGAGGAAAGAAAGAAGCCTAGAGTTGTAGGCATGTATAACTTACTTTCAGAGAATTTACAGCAAACTCTAAGCCTGCATTTGTTTCAGATGGCCCATTCTGCATAAATAGAACCAATGTCAAAACAAAAGGAACAGATGCTGGTAAACATATTTGGTAAAACTATTGATTCGTAAGTGTTCATTCCAACGCATCAATGCTTCAAATAAAACAGACATGATGTTAGGACATATTAGATGCAAAGTATCATATACCTCATATGGTGGCACCATGTTTGCAACGTTGCGAACGACAAAAGCTTCACCAGGCTGGAATCCTAAGATGGACGAAGGGCAAACCCTTGAGTCTGCACAAGCAATCACCATAAACTGCACTTGGATTTGTTAGTTGAGGTGTAATAATATTTTTCTGGCATTCAACATCAAAATTACAGTAAAAGCCAAACAAGATACTAAGATGCATCCAGAATATGTGCAACATACTTTAAAAAACAAGAAAACGGTATTACCTTTGGTGCTTGACCTTTGGCAAGCTTTTCATAGAGTTCCAAGTTTTGCCTGCTCAAATTTTACCTCACATTAGAGGACGAGATAAGTTTCCATCAAAGAAAAATCACATCAGACCAAAGCTCTTCTCTCCTTACATGTATTTATGCTTTTTGAAGCTCAAAAACCGTTGTTTCATCTCATCAAATAAATCAGAACCACGTTTGATTCTTTCCATGCGCTCGGATTTATCACTTTTAAGTTCCTTAGTCAGTCCAGGACGCTCCCTGGAAGCCTGTAATCTCAAATCTGAATTTTTCCTGAAATCGTTGAAGAAAGCCAATGTAGTAGAATATGCAAATATGCAACAAAATAATGAAGAAGATGGCAAAAAACTTGTATTAAATCAAAGACAGGCTTATCTTTCTTTCTTAAGCTCAATACCAAAGGTTGCTGGTTGTAGTCATTGTCTTATACTATACAATCTCTCCTATAAATAAAGTAGATGATTAAAAACACTTAGATGTTTATAGAAAAAAAAAATCATCAGAAAATCACCAGGCAGTAATATCCTCAACATCACCGGATAAATCATCAGCAGGGGAAAAGTCCTCAGTATTTTAACCAAGGGGTGGCAGAGTAAATGAAAATTGATAAAATAATATATGTTTTTAACTCAAGAAAAACGTAGACAGATAAATAATGAGGCAAGTTATGTCCTTGCACTATGCTATATTGAGTTTTACATTTTAAAGTACAGAAAGAATAATTCTTTGTAGAAAACGACCATATGCATCCACCTGCAACTTTAACTGGTCATTTTGAAGATCCCTGTAAAGTCTGCTAGTGTCAGATCCCAGATATTCTATGATTAAATTATGAATATAAAGTCATATCAAGATTGATTTAGAAATCAATTCAGCTCCATAAATCAAAAAACCAAATAGTTCTAGATAAACCTCCGGTTAAAATAACAGCGTACAACATTAAAATTAAAATTTGAGTTAATTCTTGATTTAGCAACAGAAATTAAACAACAATAAGAAAATGAAATAAAACAGTAACTTCTGACAACAAGAGAAGGAAAATCAATACAAAACCAAGGCACTCACAACAACTTACTTCAAATTATTCCACAATCTCAAATGGGTCTGCTCAACTCCTCCTAAATTAGCCTTAGAACCAATGGCCTGCAACAAGATAAGCAATAAACAGATAAACCAACAAAAAGAAGCTAAATAAATATAACATCATTATATCCATACACAGAGAGAAAGACGAAAAGTTTACATTTTGGGTTCCCAAGGCTGAAGCTTTAGAGGGATCCAATGGAGGGTTGGAAGCATGAAATGAAGGGGAATTGGATAAGGAGTGTTTTGAAAGAGAGAAAGGTGGTGATGGGACAGCCATTGCAGAGACAAATAAAGGTAAAGTTTGTGTCTTTGGATGGATAGAAATGAGGAGAATTCATAGACATGTGAGAGAATTAATTAATTGATTAAAAAAAACCCGGAGAGAGGAGGAGGAGGTGGTGGTGGGCTGGTGGGGTTAAAGTATTAGTGAAAGAACAAGAAAGGAACACTTGTTTTTGTCTCAAAGAAAGACGGAGAAAACTATGTAAAGAGGTCCAACAACGTGGGTGTGTGTTCATGAAGTTGCCAGCTAAACAACCCTGCTCTGATGGGTACATGGTTGTGTAAAGGATCAAAAGGAGAAGAGGGGAGAAAAAAGGCAAAGCAAAAGGAATGGCTTTCTTTACATTCTTGTACCTTTTCCACTTTCATTTGTTTTTTCTTTTTTTTTTGGTGTCGATTTCACATTTTCAACGTAACTTTAGTTTTTCCATATTTACAAACAATATAAGAAGTTAAGAACAGGTTCTCATTAAAAAAAAAAAAAAGTATTTTGTTAACAGTATATGGCTTTTTCCTCCTTTTCAACGTTTTACCGGAGGGTCCATCTAGGTCAAGGATTTTAGAAGAGTTGTTGATTATAACTAGATGTGAATAAAAAAAAAAAAAACTAAAGTACTCTAAGTATATTACAATCAAGGGAAGTTCATGTTTTTTTTTAACTCTTAACTTTTTTTATTTAATTTTTTCATATTTATTTTATATTAATTTTATTTAGAATTTGGCTTGATAATTTATTTTAGTTTTCTTTAGAATTTTTCAATATAGAGAAATTTTTAGTGCTTGTTGATGCTTAGTTTTGTAAAATAAAATAAAAATCAACTAATTTAAAATAATTAAGTATTAATAGACCAAAATTGAAATTAAAACAAAATAGGGATTATGGTGAATAGGTTGATGATTAGTACTTAAAAGTGTATTTTTATCAAAGTTTTATATCATAATTTTACACTTGACGTATCAATAACTCCTTAACTAAAGTATGATTTATAATAATAAGTCTGATACTATAAGGTACCTTTAATTTATGGTAAATATTTATTCTAAATACAGGCCTATTGCATAAATAAAAAAATTGATTGATGAGTTGAAGTATTAAAATTAAAAGGATAAAAAGATGGTCAAACTTAGAAAAGAGATGTTTGTGCAGTCTAAACTGGAGGTCATATCTGAAGCTACAGATCTCATATTTAGGTTTACTTTATAGGGATAGAAAGCTAAAACATATGCCTAAAACTTTCATGGAAAGTCAAGACTCAATTTTGCTGTTTGGAAGTCCAAATCTTAGCAACAACGTAGAAGTCCGAATATATCTTGCAGCCCAGATAATATTTAGTGTTCATCTCATATCTTGAGTTTTAGAAGTCTAAATGACCTCAATTTTTTTCTTGAAAAGCTGAGACAATTTTCTAAAACTTTCATATGAAAGTCTGGTCCAATTTTGACTTTATTAATGATGTTTTATTCAGACAAGTAGATAAGGATAGTCACCAAGCCAAGAGTTGGATACCCACTCATCAGTTAGTCATCAAATCAGTGGTTTTCAATTTTAGCTTATAAAAGGAGGTATTTGCCATGCATTTAGGCATCTTGGTTTTCAAATCAAGATCATGCTCTTGCTTTCTCTTTTTGTATTTTTGTAATACTTAAGTTTTGCTTTTATTAATATCTTATTTATGCATTTCAATTCCTTTCCTTTTTTTAATTAACTTTTATCTTATTTATGTTTCTCTCCTTTATTATGTTTAGCTAAGTTTATTATGTCAAGGTGAAAAGGTTACACTAATGGTTTAAGAATAAGTATTGTGTAAACTCAATATGAACTTTAATGTTTGATACTGACATGTTTTATATTTGTTATCTTATTCACTTTTAATACTTTGCTTGTTAAATGGTTAATCTAGATTTGTATTGTATAACACTTGGTATAACAAATACTTGGCACTTTCATTGCCCAACCATATGGTATAACCAACACTTATGCTATGAAAGGAACTTAATTTGTTATTAACATAAGTTATAATCATGAATACCTGACAATATTTATAAGTATTAGCATTATTAGAATAAAATAACTAATGTAATTATGTTAATAATTTATAATCTGATTCGAACCTCCATTGTGTGTGGTTTTCAATTAAATAATAAGAGTTTGTACTATACTTATTTGAAATATCATTAGTGGATCATCTAACCTTAACCTTTGTTGTTATCATTGTTTAATTCTTACATTGATCTTTCATCTCAAAGTTCTCATCAACTTCTTCTTCTTCTTCTTCTTCTTCTATTGTTGTTGTTGTTATTTATAATTTATACATTTAACCTCCCTGTGATTCGACACCGGTCTTGTCGGGTTATTATTACTTTAACCCCCTGCACTTGGGAGAAGACATTAATCTTTTGGTCGTGTCAGTTGGTGTGGGCAATGCAAGTGCCAGCAGGTAAGAGACATCGGTAGTGTTTGTTGCGAGGTTCGAGCCAGCGCAACACCGTCTAACGACAACAGAGGCTTTTATCGTGCCTCTGATGTGAGGTGTTATATATTAGAAAGGGTTTTGGATTTAATCATAAAATTATGATTAAGGTTCAGGAGTCGCTACCTAGTATTATGGTCACTAGGAACCTATGGTCTACGAGAGTTTGAGTAAGAGATTAGTTATGCAAGGGGAAGACGCATCACCTCCAGTGTACCCTACCTAAGGTAAGTTGCATTGTTGTTTGATTGTTTTTTTCTGAGTCGGGTATCTGTTGATCTTTTCTAAGGCCCAAGGCAGATTTATCTTCTTGGGAGAGTTTCTACCTTATTGAGTTAAATTATAATTGTTATAAAGTCTGAATTTTAGCATCGCATTTATTTACATCTTGTATCTTTAATACCTGAGGGTGTACTTTATCGTGTAATTTTACACTCCACAAATATTAAAGTCTACATCTGGATTAAAAAAAAAGATTGGAAAATGATTTTTGACATGTTAGTAAATCCTAATAGATAGTCATAAACTGATTACAATATCCATTTTTATATTTTTTTTTAACATGAAAAAAATGCAATTTTTGTTTTTTATGAAAAATATGCTTGGAAAATTTTTAGAATTTGGCCGTGTGCAACAAAATATTTTTTTTGGTTTTTTGCAAATGTTTTGAACTTATTTTTTTGAAATATTTTTGGAGAAAACTGATATTTTAATACCGGATTTGTATTTTACAATGTAAATATATAACTCGATATTATGCAAAATTGGTAGAAAAATATGCGAGAAAATCATTTTTTTTTTTGAAAATTTTTGGATTAACAAAAAAAAAGTCCATTGTTCATACATGAACAATAAGACATGAATTATAATTCATGTCCTCTGTTCACTAAATAAGGGTTGCTAAGAAGAAGAAGAAGAAGAAGAGGAAGAGGAGAGAGGGCGGGCAACCTGGTATGGTGGTGGTCTGGCAAAGGATGACAGCATGCTGCCAGTGGTTATAGCAGTGGAGGCCGATGGAGTAAGAAAGAAAAAGAAGAAAACCTGCAGCTGGGAGAAGGAGAGGAGAGAGACGCGGTGGCTGCTTTACCACTAGTAAATCATCAGTTGATACAAGAGAAAAGTTTCTATAATGGAGCTGAAGGTGGGAGCCAGTGACGATGGCGGTGGTGGTGGTGGCTGAAGGCCACAGTGGAGAAAGAAAGAAAGAAGAAAATTTACAGAAATCAGCAGAAAAACTAGTTTTTTGGCTAACATTGGACCCGATTTTATCTTCCTTTAGGCCATAAAATCCACCTCTATTGTAGATAGTGGAAGAGGGAAATCTTGTCTATACTAGAAAAAAAAATTTCAACCCTTGATTCAGTTAGGAAGGATCCCACTATTTGCTTAAATTAGGTATCATGAGTTGCAAAATCTGTAGACAAAAGCTTACTAAGTTGGTCTCTTTAGGTTGTCACCAGAGATGATGTGTTGTCATGTAGTCTAAACTGATCACATTGGGTTGTAAATAAAGTGCACAGGATCATTTTTGTATAAAATTTTTTAAATTTTATGGATGTTAGATATATTAAATGCTGCTGCAAAGTAGGTAACTGGATCAGCTTTTTCAGAGAAAAAAATAAAGATAGTGAACAGTGTCAATTCCTTTTTTGCCAAAGTTCATTTCAGTCTTGCCTCTTTTAATAGATTTTAATTGAACCTTAATTGACCCTAAAAATTTTTATTTAATGCAATTAAGTCCCTAATTTCAATCAATTAACTTGGTAAAAATTCAATTTGGTCTTTTAAAATTTCAATCTTCTCAATTAAGCTAAAATTAGACTCATAAACTTAATTTTTCACCAATTAAGCCCAAAATAAAATTAATTTGACCCATTTAAAGTATAACTAAATCCTTGCACTTAATTAAATCCTTGAATTGAACCCAAATTAATTCTTAAATATAATTAAAATTTAATTTAGCCCATGATTAAATTAATTTGGCTTATTAAAAATTTAATTATGTTATTGGACTCAATGTTTATGCAAATTCGTTCAATAATCATTCAATTTGACATTGAATTTGTATTTTTCTCTATTTTTGGGCATGATGGGGTACAATTAGGCCTTGAATTTCCTCAAAAAAATTACAGCTTGATTGTTTTCTATTTTTGTAGCCCTCCTTTATTTGTTTTCTCCACATTGCCAGCCTTTATTTTATTTTTTAATTTTTATTTTTGAAAAAAATTGATATTTAAAGAATAATCCAGAATTGAATTATGACAGTGTTCAAGCAGCACATGAGAAGTCTTTCAGTGACCAAACATCAATATTGGCTTACCAAAATTTAAATATGTTAAGTCACGTTATTTTTTATTAAATTTATTTTTTATTCTTTTGACTACTATTATTTTGTTACGAATCTTTTTTTATTGATTTTTTACTTTTTAATTTTGTCCCTTACCATTTGATTTCATTTAATTTTTATATCAAATTTGGTCCTTATTTTTTTATTGCTATTTTTTATCATATTCTTATTTACTTTTTCCAATTTCATCCCTAGACATTTGGTTTTATTTTATATTTATGTCAAATTTCCCCTCGTTTTTTTTATTGATATTTACTTTTTTATTCTTTTTTGATTGAATTTTTTTAAAAAAAATTTATCCCTTGGTTTTTTATTGATTGAGGATTTGACTTAAGGTTAAAACTCATTTTTTGAGTTTATCTTATAAAAGGTTGGTCTCATCCTCATGACTCGGGTGATGGGTTTCGAAGATTAGCCCGAGTTGACTTCTTTCTTTTAAAAAAATTGATTATTTTTTCAATTTTATCTTAGTATATTAGTGA